CTGAATATCAGCCCCTTTCCAGGGACACTCTTCAAATATCTCAGAATCTGGTGCACAGCGTCCATATGACCCTTCCTCGGATCGTGCATGTAGCGACTCACCACGCTCACTGCAAAAGAGATATCAGGACGTGTGTGACTCAAATAGATCAATCTTCCCACCAGCCTCTGGTATCTGTCACGATCAACTGGTTCTCCAGCCTCAGCACCTAGCTTGAACTTCTGGTCGATCGGTATAGTTGTAGGTTTGCACCCTAACATCCCTGTCTCTTTGAGAAGATCCAATGCATACTTTCTCTGGGATAGGATAATTCCCTCCGCTCCTCGAGCTATCTCTATTCCAAGAAAGTATCGAAGCAAACCAAGATCTTTCATCTCAAATTCCTTACCCAGTCTTACTTTGAGTTGGGCAATCTCTTTCTCATCATCTCCTGTAATAATCATATCATCCACATATACCGCCAGCATGGTAATGTGGCCTCCACTTCGTCGAAAGAACACGGTATGGTTGGCGTTGATCTGCTGGTATCTCATACCAATCATAGCCCTCCTGAATCTGTCAAACCAAGCACGAGGAGACTGCTTCAGCCCATAGAGAGACTTCTTCAATCTGCAGACCTTTCCCACTGTCTGATCTGTACCGAATCCTGGTGGTATCTCTATGTATACCTTCTTCACTAGATCTCCATGAAGAAATGCATTCTTCACATCTAGTTGGTGTAGCTTCCATCTACCATTTACTGCCAGAGAGATTAAGGTCCGAACAGTGCTCATCTTCGCCACCGGTGCAAAAGTCTCATCATAATCGATGCCATATGTCTGACTATACCCTTTTGCCACCAGACGAGCCTTGTAGCGCTCAACTTGTCCATCTGGATTCTGCTTTACAGTGAAGACCCACTTGCACCCAACTGCTCTCTTCCCTTCTGATAATTTTACTAGCTCCCAAATACGGTTCTTCTCAAGAGCTCCTAGCTCCTCATGCATAGCTGCTTTCCACTTTGGGTCCTTCTTAGCAACCTGCCAATTGTTAGGTACAGTAACAGAGTCCAATGATGCAATGAATGCTCCATGTGTAGGGTGGATATTAGAATATGATACAAACTAGGTAAGATCCCAATCATATCTATCGGGAGGATGTCCCGCATTGCTGCGAGTAGTACTTCGTACTGACATTGGTGTGGGAGGAGTAAGGAGAGGAATGATATCACATTGGGAGGAATCTGATTGTGGTGTAGGTGTCTCAGGAGTTGGGACAGGCGTTGATAAGGGACCTGGCACTAGTGGCATTGTAGGTACTATTTCCGTAATTTGCTTCCCCTTTCTACTATAGGTAAGTAGCTCCCCCTGAGCCGTGGGCCTAACACCTCTTGTCTCCTTATCCTCTTCTTCTTTATTCTCCTGCTCCTCCTCAACCAATTCTCCTTCCTAAGGAATCGTTAGAGAAATCGATTTCTCCACATTATTCTCTATATTATTCATCTGTCTCTCACCATTTTCCCCTTCTCGTTTCATACTTCCAGTATTGGGCGAGTCACCAACGGATGAGGGTACCTTCTGTGTGTACTATGGCTCAAATTCACGAAAGTACACATCCATGCTCACGAACAGCCTTTTCTCCACCGGGTTCCAACAAACATATCCCTTTTGAGTAGCAGAATATCCCACAAAAATATACTTCACCGCTCTAGGGGCAAGCTTCCCGACGGATGGTCTGTTATCCTTCACAAAACACACACAACCAAATACCTTCAGTGGAAGAATCCCACCATTATCTCCTTTCAATGTCTTACACGGAGACTTCCAATCCAGTACTCTCGAGGGCATTCTGTTGATCAGCGCCGCTGCAGTCAACACTGCTTGCCCCCACAATGTTTCTGGGATATTCATGGAGATCATCATACTTCTAGCAACCTCTAAAAGATGTCTGTTCTTCCTTTTTGCTACCCCATTCTGAGCTGGTGTGTATGGACATGTAGTCTGGTGTTGTATTCCTTGAGATGACAAGTATTCTCCAAACACTCTGTTGGTGTACTCTGTCCCATTATCAGATCTCAATACCTTCACCACTGCTCCATATTGAGTCTGAACATTCCTATGAAAGTTTTGAAAGCAGCCAAACACTTCACTCTTATTCTTCATCAGGTATAACCAAGTAACGCGAGAGAAGCAATCAATGAAGGTAACAAAATACTTGTATCCATTCATAGAACTTGTGGAACACGGCCCCCACACATCTGAATGTATCATATCAAATGCATGAGAACTCCTATGATTAGAACTAACATAAGAGCTTCTAGTAAGCTTTCCCAATTTACATGCATCACACACAAGTTTCTCTTTATTTACTTTCTCAAATAAAGATGGATACAACCTACTTAAAACACCGAAAGAAGTATGTCCCAAGCGTTTGTGATGAAGCATCAACACACTCTCAGCACTCATCTCAGATCCTACTCCTGCTCTCTCTACCATTGACACCAAAGCTGAATCTAGCCCTTCACGATCCAGATACCACAGTCCATTACGCCATGTGTCAGTCCTAAGTCTCCGTCCTGTCCTTTTCTCCTGAAAGATCACCTTGGGAATATCAAAAGAAACAATGCATTTTAGTTGGAGGATGATAGAATAATGGATAAAAGATTGACTGGAAAGGAAGGAGCATGCAAAACATTAGACAAAGTTACAGAACCAGTACAATCGACTGTACCCTTACCAACCACCGGCTGAAATGTACCATCAGCTGTTTGAATACTATCAGGCGATGCTAAGTGAGTATATAATGAGAACTCACTAGCATTACCTGTCACATGGCGAGACGCACCGGAGTCGACTATCCACTCTGATGATCTGTCGGGAGACATAGAAGCAAGAGCATGTATGTCATCAGTACCTTTGATTGGATGAGCATAGGTAGCAGTGTTGTCTCTGGCGAAGAACGAAGTTGATGCCTTTTCAGTCCCACTCCTCAAGTCTTCATCCCCTGCTACTTGCTGTTTTTTTTCTGAGTATCGTCAGGAGAGCACGATCCTCCTCTGTAAAGACCACCTCAGCTTCTTCTTCCTCTGCTACCGTCATATTTGCCCGATTCCCTGCTCCTCTTCCACCTCGTCGACCCCCACGGTCACAACCACAACCTTCGAACTGTCCACGTCCACCCGAATCTCCTTCCTTGGGTGGCTTGGTGCAAGCATGTCTTAGATGACCCACCGCACCGCAGTTGTAGCATTGTCGAGTCTCTCCCCTAGATCCAGTGCTGCTAGAGGCTGCCAGTGCTGACTTCACCACAGGAAGTCCACCTGTCCCCGCCTGCAGCCGAATGCGAGTCTCCTCCTGGATCATAGCAGAGACAGCCTCCTCAAGTGTGGGAATCTTCGGCGGAGCTAGCAGCAATGCGATTCGCTGAGCGAACTCTGATGTCAATCCCTTAAGAAACACTATAGTCCTCTCCTGTAGAAAGGCCTCCCGCTCTTTACATCCCGGGTCCTTGCAGCTAGCCCAGGGGGAAAAATGATCATAATCCAGCCACAGGCGCTCCAACTCTGTAGCATATTCCTGTACAGTCCTCTCTCCCTGGACTGTGGCGTCGATCTCTCCTTTAATCTGGAATACCCTCAGGTTATTCCCCACTCCATCATATGTCCTCCTCAACTTCTCCCAGACGTCATTCACCTTCTCAATGCCATCCACCGTGGTGGCGATCGTCGGGACCAACGAGTTGAGAAGCCAGATGTACACCAACATATGAGTGGACTTCCACTCATCTCTTCCCTCTGAGTCCTCCGGCTCTGTCACCTCTCTTGTCAGATAACCCTCCAGATTCCTCCCTGCAAGGGTATATCTCACCCGCCACTAGGTCCATCCAGCTTCAGATCTATGGTAGGAAGTTCTAACTTCTTGGATGGTTTTGTCGCGCTCTCACCAGCCGACAACTTCATTAGCTTCATCAAAGTTGACACCTCCGTAGGGTTCAACTTCTTGATGATCTCCTCCATCGAACAGGCTTCAGACCTAACACCTGGTCACCTACTCTTCCTGTCCTTGTTGTGTGCAGTGGAAATTTCGGCAGCACCTCTGCTGCACAACAAGAGTAGGATCACAAACAAATTCTCGTTTCTCAGAGGAAACAAGAACAAAAAACAGTTATATATCTCATCGATGTGAGATATATATTCTTCCTGTCATCAGTTCGAGGACTGAGTCGAGGGAACCCATGCCAAACTCTAGGTCCGACATGGCGCAGCAAGTCTCTGATACCATGAAGAATTGAAACCCTAATCTTATTAATGAAATAACATGGGCTTATATAGGCCCCCTACAAATACATCTTACAAATAACCCCTTAACTATTCTAATATGTCAACAAACCCTACGAAATGAATGAGAGAAACCGTATCAATAGCTGCAATGAATGGTTGTGATTAAATCTGAAATAAGTGACCCGAGTCATCGATGATCAGGAGGAGTCAACGATGACTTAGGCTAATCGAGGAGTCCTGGAGCTCATCGATGATTGAAAAAAAAATCTGTAAAATTTTGTCATCATTGATTACAATGTGATCGATGATAAATTCCTTTGATCATCGGTGATCATGAACTGATTCAACTTCACTCATTGATTATCAGATCATCTCATTGATGAGTGGCTCTACTGATGGCTCATTTTGAGCTGAATTTCATTCCTTTACTCTTCGAACTCCATTCTAACCTGTTCAAGCTTGCACAAATGATCTCAAACATGAATTAGATTTAAATGAATGTTTAAAAGAAATTATACGGACACACTGCTAACATATATATCAACTGTCATAACGCCAATAAGATTTTAGCCTATCTGATTGCTTAACTGGATTCTCTTTACTACATTTTGAAGTTTTACCATTCCTATTTTATTCCTACCAAATCGCTTCATATGGTAACGTATGATCTTTTACATGTTATTAGTCATTTCATATATTCAATCAGTTTAATATACACTTCATCTTTTTGTCATTACTGAAGGCTGTACAAAAAGTTCTTAGGAGAGACCTGGAGCCATGGGAAACTGTTGTAGTCGGGGCAGTCACCGGAGGTCTAGCTTCGGTCCTCACCACTCCTTTTGATGTAATCAAAACAAGAATGATGACTGCACCTCAAGGCATGCAAATAACAATGAAAATGGCAGCCATCACCATTCTCCGTGAAGAAGGACCCCTTGCCCTTTTTAGAGGAGCTTTGCCTAGGTTCTTTTGGGTCGCACCGTTAGGCGCAATGAACTTTGCTGGGTATGAACTCTTAAGGAAGACAATGGACAGGACTAGTTTCCTTACTGGTAACCAGCACAGCAAAAAGAGGCTTGCAGGTAAAGCATAATACCAGTTGATAGTGGACTTCAGGCTTCAGTTCCTTCAGTTTTTCTGAAGGAAAATATTCTGCAGTTGATAACAGTTGACGTTCTCTTTACTTTTTATTCATAGTGTGCGAACGGTCAATTTTGTGTATCAATTAGAGACCACAGATTCACGGAGGGGAAAATCCACACAGTTTGCAGATACATTTTCATGTGAAATATGTACTATTTCTGGTAATAATAATATCAAGATGAAGGTTGAATGTTGACTGTTCTTCTAAAATTGGGCTGCGTCCGTTTCACCCCCATGGGAATTCATGAAACTTCTTTTGCTTCTTCGTAAGTGGAAAATTATGAAGAAAAAGGATCGCATGATTTGTACTGGGACTCAATGGAAATGAGGTCCACAGGTGTATTTTGTCATGCTTTTGCAGGTCCAGAGTGAACCTTACTTGAGTGACGTCAACTGCGAAACCTTAGATCAGATAACTTATAATGATAGTGTTTCAGATGGCTTATTATGATGCATCGGCTTCTCGCGTCCTCGTCCTCGACGTTTCTTAAGGTAAGTATTTAGCAAACCATAAGAGTTTTTGAAGCATTTTGCTCTTCATGGAGAAAACAAGGGTCGTCAACCCTCAAAATTTTTGCACAAAAGCTCTGCTGCTGTTATGGATTATACAGTCTGAGGCATACCAACTTGCTTCGGTTCTTCGTGGACAGATTAGAGAAAGGCTTCATTGAGGCGCTCCAGGGACAATATTACATCGTGGTTCTTTACAACAACAAAGAGAACTCCAACCAAGAGCTCCGGTGAGTGAATATCATTATCATAATCCCTACATAATGAAGTGAAAATGGATAAGGTAAAGACTTAGCACATATATAATTCTAACAAAGATCGGTCGGTCTGAGATCCATATTGTAGATTCCTAAGCAAAACGTTCAATGTCTAGGTGCATATGGTTCAATAATCAACTCTACAAAACCGCATGTTTGACATATAGTAAGCAGAAAAACTACAATTTTCATACAGAAGGTTTTTTTTTTGTTTTTTTTTTGGGCATGTATACTCCCCAAATTTAACATATGTACTAATTTATCCCCCCAAATGTAGATATTTGTTACTTTTCCCTGAATCTCTCTTATTGACCTTTTTTACCCATCAATTCATTTTCAAACATGACTGGTATATGCCTTATTAAGTTAGTTAATTTACTATTTAAGAGAGAGAAAGAGGGGGTTCTTAACTTAAATTAGATGGTATATTAGTTATTTTGAGAATTGAGAGGTAGAAAAAAAAAGAGAAAAAAAAAATTCAATGAGGGAGATTTGGGCGATAAATTAGCAAATATTTAGATTTTGAGGTTAACTTTGCAACTGCGGTAATTTTGGGGATATGTATACCAGAAACCAAAATAATAATAATAATAATAATAATAATAATAATAAATTTGAACTCACATTCATATTAATCCTGGAGTTGAGCTAAGCTGACATCATCATTATCCAAACGCTTCAGATTTTTAATATTTATCATGCTGACAATATTAGGATATGGGAAGCCTAACTATCAGATTTACCCTATACCTCTAATTGAAGAGGGAACATGAGAATTAAAGGAACAGGAACAACGATGATGAAGTTTAGACAAAACGACGAAGGAAACAACCTGGAAGTCTCACGGTTGACCGCGAGTGACGCGGTGGTCGACTGCGAACGTGCACAAGACCTAGAAAAGTCTCTGGACTTTTGGCGGTTCGATCGCACGGACATAATGACAATGTGACGGCGTCGAGCCGCCGACAACATGTGCGGTCGACCGCGACAACATGTGCGGTCGACCGCGACAACATGTGCGGTCGACCGCGCCAAATCCTGTAGTCGATTAAGCTTCTGTCGTTTCTGTCCAGTTGATCGCGACTATCTCTGCGGTCGACCGCGAGTCAGGTTTTGGGCCCAGACTCGTTTTTTCTGAACTGTTTGACATTCTTGTTTGTATTAACCCTTATGTTATTAAAAGGGTTATTAGGGAAACTTGTAAACTGACGAAAAATAGTGGAATTTTTTTCTTGCGGCGGCCGTGGACGTAGCTTCTCACATCGAGAAGTGAACCACGTAAATCTTGTGTGTTTTTCCTTCTGTGATTGATTTTCTCTCTCTATTCTCTCTCATCTCTATTTTCAAATCGCATCAGGGGTTAGATAAAACCCTAACAAGTGGTATCAGAGCGACCAGGTTCGGCGCAGGAGATTTGAGGTCAGAGACATGGGATCTGAGAAGGAGACGTCCAAGATCGAGAACTTTGATGGGACAAATTTCGGGTTCTGGAAGATGCAGATGGAAGACTATCTCTATCAAAAGGATCTATATTTTCCATTGGGAGAGAAGTCGGCGGATATGAAGGATGCAGAGTGGAAGCTATTAGATCGGAAGGCCCTTGGATGTCCAAAACCCTAGGTTTCAACATCAAGAATCAGAATTCGACGGCTGATCTCATTACTGCGTTATCTAGTATGTATGAACAACCCTCTGCGGCTAATAAGGTACATCTCATAAAGAAAATGTTTAATTTGAGGATGTCAGAAAACCAAAAATTCAAGGAACACCTGAATGAGTTTAATGAGATTACGAATCAACTAAACTCCGTCAATATTAGATTTGATGATGAAATTCAAGCTCTGTTAATACTTGGTCAGTTGTCTGATAGTTGGAAGGGCACCGTTATTTCGATTAGCGGGTCATGTGGAAAATCAAAACTGAAGTTTTTAGAAGTTGTAGACATGGTTATGACCGAAGAGATCAGAAGGCAAGAATAAGGAGTTTCTAATTCAGGGTCGGCATTGAATGTTGAGAGCAGAGGCAGAAACAGAAACATAAATAGAGGGAATAGCCGTGGAAGACCTAATTCGAGGAACGTCAGGTCAAGGTCCAGAAATCACAAAAGTAAGACATGGTCAACCGTGTGATGTAGTTGGAAAAGGAAACTTAGGGAAAGTCTACATCGGCGATGATCAACCGTGTGATGTAGTTGGAAAAGGAACAGTGCAGATCAAACTCAATGGGTTTATATGGAAGCTGAATGATGTAAGACATGGTCCTAGCTTGAGGAAGAATCTGATCTCCATAAGACAGTTAGCAAAAGAGGGATATATATCAACCTTCGCATGTGATACTGGAAGGTTACCAAGGGGTCTATGATTGTAGCTCGTGGTACGAAGAGTAGATCTATCTACATGACGACAGATGCACATGAATCCATTGCAGTGGTTGAAAGCAAGGAAGATCCAAATTTATGGCACCAAAGACTTTGTCACATGAGTAGCAAAGGCCTGAAGGTTATGCAATCGAATGGAAAGTTACTAGGTTTGAGGTCAGCTGATCTTGATTTATGTGAAAGTTGCATCTTCGGGAAACAGAAGAGGATAAGCTTTAAAAGAGTTGGCAGAACACCGAAGGAAGAGAAGCTTAAGCTAGTTCATACAGATGTATGGGGTCCAACATCAGTCCAGTCTACTAGTGGAAGGTTATATTTTGTGACCTTCATAGGTGATCATTTGAGGAAGACTTGGGTCTATTTCATGAAACACAAATCAAAAGTGTCTAAAGTCTTCAAGAGGTGGAAGGCTATGGTAGAAAATGAAACATGGTTGAAGGTTAATAAATTGCGATCAGATAATGATGGTGAATATGAAGATTCAGAGTTCAAGAAGTTTTGCTATGATAGTGGCATCATATTGGAGAGAACAGTGTCAGGTACACCTCAGCAGAACGGCATAACAGAACGATGAACAGAACATTGTTTGAAAGAGCAAGAAGCATGCGACTACAAGCAAGTCTTCCAAAGCAATTCTGGGTAGAAGCAGTCAACATAGATGCCTACCTGATCAACCGGGGACCATCAGTGCCTTTGGAGCACAAAATACCTGAAGAAGTATGAAGTGGAAAGAAGGTAAACCTTTCTCACCTAAAAGTTTTTGGCTGCGTTTTATATGTTCATTTGAGTGATCATGTTAGAAACAAACTTGACACTAAGTCTTTGTGTTATTTTATTGGCTATGGTGGTGATGTACTTGGCTATAAGTTATGAGATGAGCAGAACAAGAAAGTTATCAGAAGCAGGGATGTTGTCTTCAATGAAACAGTCCTCTACAAAGATCGTGATGCTGTTCAGTCTACTAATTCGGTGCAGCCTGGGTCTACATACTTCGAGCCAGATGATGTTCCAGATGGAAGCAATCTTGAAGACAGTTCTGATGAGGAAGCATCAGAAGAGGTTGAAGAAGAGATGGTGGAGGAGATCACTTCAGAGAGGACAAATGAAGATGCAGATCCTAGTTCACCTGTTAGAGAGTTGAAACGGTCAACAAGAGTTCCAAAGCCAAATCCGAAGTATCCATCACTACAGCCCAGAGCACATTTGAACTACTTATTATTGAGTGACGGTGAAGAGCCAGAAAGCTATGATGAGGCATGTCGAGTAGATGATGCAAGCAAGTGGGGGCTTGCTATGAAAGATGAAATAAAGTCCTTGAACTCTAACAAGACTTGAGAACTTGCAAAGTTACCAATGGGAAAGAAAGCATTGAGTAATAAATGAGTGTATAGAATCAAGGAGGAACATGATGGTTCCAAGAGATACAAAACAAGATTGGTGGTCAAAGGATTTCAGCAGAAAGAAGGAGTTGACTACACATAAATCTTCTCTCTTATAGTCAAATTGACTACTATCAGATCTGTTCAGAGTATTATTGCAGCTGAAGATCTACATCTCAAGCAATTAGATGTGAAGATAACTTTCCTCCAGGGTGATTTAGAGGAAGAAATATACATGCAGCAGCCAGAAAGGTTCACTCAGAAAGGCAAAGAAAAGATGGTATGCAGATTGAAAAAGAGCTTGTATGGTCTGAAATAAGCTCCAAGGCAATGATACAAAAAATTCGATGGATTCATGCACATGAACGGATACTCCAGGTGCAATGTTGATCATTGTTGTTTCTTCAAGAAGTTTGACACTAGTTACATTATCTTGCTACTATACGTCGACGACATGCTAGTATCTGGTTCAAACATGGGTGAGATCAAGAAGCTGAAGAAGCAGTTATCGAGTGAGTTTGACATAAAGGATTTAGGCACATCGAAGCAGATATTGGCGATGAAGATTAGCAGAGACAAGTGTTTAGGCACATTGTGGTTATCTCAGGCCAATTACTTTAGACGGATGCTTGAGAGGTTTGGAATGAGTGGTGGTAAGG